CATGATGTGGAGGGGAAAAAAACAAGATGTTGTGAGCACAAATTCAAGATTCGCGCCCATATTTTAGGTAAATCATGGCCACGATTACCCTGATTCCCTAAGATGAGGGAATTAATTAATCAAACGTGGCCATGAATTAAGTCAACTTCTATATTCATGGCGATAAAAATTCACTTAAAATGTGTACTTTTTTAAAAGGTCACATTGATTTTGTGATGTAACCATCAAGTAAAAAAGTAATAACATATATTCCTTACACCTAATCATTATTTTCAAAAACATTTTTAAATAGATTTTCTAAAATAAAAAAGGAACAACTTTTTCTCAAATATCTAATCAGTTATAAATATTAAGAAATTAAAGCTACACTGTGTGATTTTTACCCCCATCTAGTGGTGAAAAGGTATATGACCATCCAGTGAATATTAGTTTCTGTTCCTCTCAATTCCAATTTCGTTTTAACTCCTACGGTGGCCAATGTAGTCCAAGATTAACATGGCTTCCAGTTCGACGTCGTCCATGAGTGTTAACTCAAACGTAAACGTGAAAGGCGAAGCTTGAATTAACGGGTATGTCCCTCTTTGGCTAATGTACTTTTAAAGATGGAGGGGCAACATGGCGACCGCTTACCCGTATGTATTTTCAATGGCATATTATACACTCACGAGAATACTTTATTACTTGAACGAAGTAAATATACATTAATGAGCACATATATTTTTACACATAAAGAACTAAGTGTTTTTAGCTAAGAAGAATAAACTAAAAGAGTTACACAGTGTAGCTTTGAATCCCTGCTCATCACTAAAGTAATTTATTAAAGGTCATTAAATTTACATGCATTTCTGAATAAAGTAATAGATCTGGACACAAAATACTGTTAATAATATCAGAAAATTTGAACAGAAATGACAAAAAAATTGATATGGAGAAAAAGTAGCACATTAAATGATTGATAATCATAATTCAAACACCAACTGAAGGTGATATTTTGCTGGAAAGAGCTTCTGTGTGCACTGCCACAATGCCATACAGTCTGAATTTTTTTCTTTATCACAGGCTGAACTTCCAACAGAGTTTGAGACCACCCTTTCTCCTGAACAACCAGATGAATATTATGACACAAACTGGAATTCCTTTGACGAATCTGTCAATGAGGGCCCTAAGGCGACAGAGGCCCCAGCTGGAGATAAGATGGGACACCAGTCCTCCATTTCAGTGGTAGGACCCCAGACGCCTATAAACTGGCGGCATGTTCCAGAAATCAGCCCTCCTCCACCAAATCTACCTGCACTGCCCCCTCAGCCTGATGCCGTCATGAAAGGTAACTGCACTGGCAATTATCCATCATCCCGGATCACTTCTTGAGCATTCACATTGAAATTTAGGTTTTGTTCAAGTACTTCAGATCTATGTTGTTGTTTTTCAGATGTAGACTGTAGGCAGGGATTGGACCCTGGGCCATGTAGAGAGTACAGGGTGATGTGGTACTATGACCCGGAGGCCAACTCGTGCGCACAATTCTGGTATGGTGGTTGCCAAGGCAACAGCAACCGCTTTGTGACAGAAGACATTTGTATAAGCGCTTGTGTGCAGACATAACACACCTTCACAATAAAGCACAGGGCTTCGTTCAGTAGACAACTTTGCAGTCATGCACTATGCATTTTCATTGTAGTACATGTCTTTTATGAGAACAATAAGGAATCCTACACTGACTGTAGATTTGGACCAACACTACTTTAATTATTGTTTACTAGACTTTATGAGAATAACATGTATATTCTTCCTAGTCGCACTGAAAGTATCACTAATTTCTCCATTTTAAATAATCCTTTTCTGTATGTTGCATCCTTACAAATACAGCATTGTAAATATTTTTTGTTAATAGTGATTTCCGTCAACTTACTAGTGAATTTCCACAAAGTGGTCAAAAAGAAGAGATGGTATTCCCCTTTGTTTTCGAAAAATTGTGAAATATGCTTATATACATAATTTGGGGTCATCATACAGTGGTATGAATAAGTTTTGGCACCCATGCTAAAGTTGCCTAAAAAGAGGAATAAAAAAATCATCTTTTGGATATTGATCTTAATGCCTTAATGAGGAAAACTCCAACCTTTAAGGACACAAATTTTCTTTGTGAATGAATAATGTATCATAAATAAATAAATGTTTTTGTTAAATTGTTAAATTCCCATAGAGTCAGGCAGATTTTTATTTTTAAAAGCCAGTTATTTCATGGATCCAGGATAATATGCATCCTGATAAAGTTCCCTTAAAATATCCCCACATCATCACACACCATTCACCATGCCTAGAGATTGGTATGGTTTTACTTCAGTTAGCCTAATAGCTGGTTTGATTTGCATTGAAAGATGATCTTATGGAAAGTACCCCATGCCAATCTCTAGGTGTAGTGGAAGGTGTGTGATGATGTGGGGATATTTTAAGGGAACTTTATCAGGATGCATATTATCCTGGATCCATGAAATAACTGGCTTTTAAAAATAAAAATCTGCCTGACTCTATGGGAATTTAACAATTTAACAAAAACATTTATTTATTTATGATACATTATTCATTCACAAAGAAAATGTGTGTCCTTAAAGGTTGGAGTTTTCCTCATTTTTCTAATTAAGTCATTAAGATCAATATCCAAAAGATGATTTTTTATTCCTCTTTTTAGGCAACTTTAGCATTGGTGCCAAAACTTATTCATACCACTGTATGTGGTCATCACCGGGCAATGCAGCAGGGAATCAAATTCAAGTTCAGTTCATTTCTAAAGTATATTTAGTACCGGCCGCTGGCCGACCAAATTGTGCTGTGCAATGGATATACAATCAATAATCACTACATTAAAAACAGGATAGATTACATGTTAAAAGCTGAGAGTTTTGAGGGCAGATTATTCCACAGTGGGGCTCTAAATTTCCCATTTTTTTCAAGCGGGAAATGTGAAGGAGGTTTTTTTCCCGATCAAAGTCCTCGCTTAGGAGTGTACGGGTGAAGGAAGTCCATCAAATAAGATGGTGCAAGACTATTTAAAGATTTGTTGACCATTAATATAATTTTATGTTCAATTCTATACTGAACAGGTAACCAATGTAGAGATCTCAGAAGGGGTGTAACATGATCAGATGTTTTACATCACTTCAGGAATCTAGCTGCTGCATTTTGAACAACTTGCAGATGGGAAATTTGAGTCTTTGGAACACCATAATATAGAGTTGCTGTAATCCAGCCCAGATATAATAAAGGTTTTAATTTTAGAGAGAGAGAGAGTGAAGATTAAAAGAAATAAAATGAACTAGAGCCCACCACAGAGGCAATTTGCCTATAAAATTTCAAGCCGTTGTCAATTTCCACACCCAGATTTTGCATTTGGGATGAAATGGCAAGATTTAAGAACCCAAGATTAGGTAAGTTTTGTATTCTAGTTCCTGAGGGGCCAAAGACAAGAACTTCCGATATATCTGAGTCCACCAATTATTGTTTAACTGATATAAAATATGCATTAAAAAATACATTGTTAACTTCAAAGCTAATTGTTAAGAAGCTAAAGTTCTGCTAAAGTGACCCACCCTCATTAAACTGTATAAAGTCAAATTTAAATGCATTTTACAAGTGTATGCCACTCTAAATCCATGATTATTTTAATGGTCTTGCAATGTAAGCATGTACATACACTAAGATGATACTATAGACCAATATATTATGCAACAGAAAAGTATTGCACACAATTACTAATACTATGTACCAGGAAGTACTTGTATGATATTAGTTAGATAGAACAGAATTTAAAAATCAAGGATGTTTATCCATATATCATTTTTCATATTTCCTTAGCAGTGAGCATCATCCAGAAGTCCTTTCCGATATAATTAATGACATCCAAAGTTTTGGACGAACTTGTTTTACATTTAATAGATTTGAACAAATATTCTCAACTTGAATTTTTTACGTTCGGGCCGTGATGAAGCGAACCATTGTGTTTCCGAAGCTTATGTTATTAATGTTTTGGAGTGGACAATAAAGTTCTAAGTCTGTAACTTTGCAAAACTTGTTTTAATATGTATTATAGAACAATAAATAGAACATTATTTACGTGTAATGGTCTTAACGTGAACTAAACATGTATTAATAAATTTCACTTTAAAAGATGATATTGAATGCTGTCTTATTTTTAGATTTGCTGTTGGTTCTGTTATTTGTTAATCTGGGTTAAATCTGTATTTATATCCATATGGACGTGTAGTACTCTAGTGTGTGCATTCCCACCGCATCTATGTAGTGGAACGAGATGGCTAAATCTGAACAGCATCCAGGGCCCTAAAAACACAAGAACAGAACAATATATATTAACATAAAGAACAATCAATCAAATCCCAGCTGAGGAGAGTTGAGAGAGAGACCCTTTTTTTTTACTGACTTCCTTCTTAAATCCCTGAATATAAATGTGATTTTTCTTTACTATGTCCTGGTTATATCTGCATTTGACTGACTGATCATAAGCCAGCACTGTAAAAAAATATTGATGGCTTAACTTAAATTAAGTAACCTGGTTGTCTTAAAATTTTAAGTTGATTGAACTGGAAAAAGTGAGTTAATAAAATGAAGGAGAATGATTTAATCATCAGAAACTCAAAATTATATGTTATCTGAACTAAATAAATTATTTAAGTTGATTTGACAAAAGAAAAAATGTTGGGATTACTACACTGTAAAAAAATATTGGTTTAACTTAAAAAAGTAAGTAACCTGGTTGCCTTAAAATTTTAAGTTCATTGAACTGGAAAGAGTGAGTTAATACAATGGAGATTAATTTAACCACTGAAAACATTACGGATGTCATACTGCATTTCTGTTAATAGATACTCAACTTTTTTACACATTGCACCTTTGGTTGACGTATTTGAATGATAAAGTGGCGCCCGTTTTCTTAGTTGCACTACATTCCAATCGGCACCAGAGGGCAGCAGCGGCTGTAATAACACTCATAGCGTCGTTGCGGTGAAGAAGACTGCATGTAAGGTTGAATAATCAACAGTGTTATGTACACATGACCTTTTATAATAAATAATATCAGATCGGTTCGTCTTTTTCATGAGGTATGGTTTTTAGGCTGGTGCACTAACACTTCGTTGCTGTGTTCAAACAGGACGCCCTTGTCGCGTGTATATAATATCCAGAGGACGTTACAGTCTGTCAGATTGTGAAGTTATGGCACATCCAGCACATGTATCAGTGGTTAGGTCTTTATATAAGAGAATCCTGTTACTGCACCGCTTCCTGCCCATAGACCTGCGGGCTCTGGGGGATCAGTATGTGAAAGATGAATTCAGAAGGAACAAGTCTGCATCAGGAGAAGAAGTCACACGCTTTATGACAGAATGGACGGTAAGAGCAGCTGTGAGCTCAGCACTTGACTGCAGAGAAAGCAAATACTCATTAAAAATAATAATAATAATAATTACATGACAGTGCTTGCATGTAAATTCCCATTATTCTTTTTCACCCTCATCCTTTTAGTATGTGTTGTCAGCGTCAAGTGTTGTTGTAAAATGGAAACGAATTGATGTTTACAAGAGATGTTGCCAAATCTTAAGCTATTTAAAGGGATAGTTCACCTATACTCGCCCTCACGATGTTCCAAACCTGTGTATGAGTTTATTTCTTCTGTTGAACACAAAAGAAGATATTTGGAAGAATGTTGTTAATCAAACATTTGATGGTAACCATTGACGTCCATATTAGGGGGAAAATGGAAGTCATTAGCTACCGTCAACTGTTTGATTACCAATATTCTTCCAAATATCTTCTTTTGTGTTCGACATAAGAAACTAAATGGCAACTTTTTCTTTTCTTTTTTTGGGGGTGAACTATCCCGTTAATTAGTCAGGCTTTGCTGAAACATTCCACATGATGGCAGCACCTTCCTGAAGTGTCTATCATCATGAAAACAATGGAATTCATCCATAACCCTATAACTAACAAATCCTTTTCTGCCAGGGAGCACAGCTGTTTCGTGACACCATCTGTGGACATTAATTACACTTGAATCTAGCATCTCTTTGATGAGACCTGCTTCTTTAATTTTAGGTGCCACTTATGAGAGCTCTGACGCCATGCTCGTCTGAAATGTTCCATGACAAATCCAAAGATCGAATTCAACGCATGAACTCCATTTAAACATGCAGCAGCATGCATTCAAGCAGCAATAATCCAGATCTTCTTTTATTCTAAGCCTGGATATTGGAGTTGATTTTTGAGCTGTCAAACTTCACAAGATGTATTGCACTTCTAGTATGGTTCTGGTATAGCTCGTGGTTGTGGACAAAGCTCTTACTGCATTTTCACAGTCATGCAGTATGATTTTCGGAGAACTCGATGTTCTGGACTGGCTTTGACAGAAACAGAACTTTAAGAGGGTAAAAATCTCACATTTGCAGGTAATGAGAGTCACTCTGTCCTTGAACAGAAGGACACGTACATGTCCTTCCAAAATGACTGTCCTGAAAAAATTAGTCTAGCCCTTTGCAACTTTTCACGAATGCACATACACAGTTATAAAAAAATACGGTAAACACAGAAAATGTAATAAAATACGCAGAGTAAACCTTTAAGGGATAATTCACCCCAAAAAGAAAATGCTGTCATTATTTACTCACCCTCACGTCATTCCAAACCTGTGTTTGCAAAATGCCATACATCAGCTTGGTTTTGGGAAAAGACTGAAATTTAAGTTATTGTTCATTGATAATATTCCCCTCCAGTGAACTGTTAGCAGTTCACGTCAGTCGAAATGAAATTAAGGTTTTTAATGAAAACATTCCAGGATTTTTCTCCATATAATGGACTTCAGTGTGAACCAAACGGTTCAAGGTCCAAAAGACAGTTTCAGTGCAAACTGCAAATTGTTCAGAGGGCTTTAAACGATTCCAGACGATAAATAAGGGTCTTATCAAGCGAAACAATCGCTCATTTAAAAAAAAAAAATGCTCAAATGCTCGTCTTGCTCTGTTCTGTGATGCGCATTCGTGACTCTCCTGTTCGAACTCGTTCATCAAAATGAACGAATCTTTCATTGAATGAACCAAATGACACGAAAAAAGATTTGCGAACGCGCATCACAGAACAGAGCAAGGCGAGCTTTTGAGCTTATAAAACTTGAACTTTTTTATTTATTTTTTAAATGAGCGTTCGTTTCGCTTGATAAGACCCTTATTCATCGTCTGGAATCGTTTAAAGCCCTTTGAACAGTTTGCACTGAAACTCTCTTTTGGACCTTGAACCGTTTGGTTCCCATTGAAAAATGTTTGTCTGTAATGTTTATCAAAAACCTTAATTTCTTTTAGACTGAAGAAAGAATGACATGGACCTCTTGGATGACATGGGGGTGAGTAAATTATCAGCAAAAGTTTTTTTTTTATTTTTTTTTTAAAGTGAACTACTCCTTTAAACTCGAGTACAGATAATTCAGACCATTTTTGTGAACTGGATAAAGAACAATTTATTCATAAGTAAGAATTCACAAATTCTTTCATCAACACATCAAAGACAGCTGCAACTTAACAGTTTTGATATTTTCTCACGCAAAGCTGTTGAATGACTTTAGAACACTTTATAACCATCGTTTGGACCACTTTTATGTAGCGATGGGCAACGATTAATCGCATCCAAAATAAAAGTTTGTGTTTACGTAATGTATGTGTGTGTGTGGTGTGTATAATTATTTTGTATATATAAATACACACACATGCATGTATATATTTAAGAAATATTTGCATGTATATACTTTATATATATTTATACATAATTAATATTATGCATAAATATAAATATTTGATACATTAAGAACACATTTTTCTTAAATATATACATGCATGTGTTAGTATTTATATATACAAAATAATTAAACACACCACACACACATATCATGTAAACAAACTTTTATTTTGGATGCGATTAATCGTGATTAATCGTTGCCCATCCCTACTTTTATGACACTTTTAAAGTAATCTGCTTCTGTGTCATTTTGACGGCCCGTTCACTTTTAGTATAATGATAATATTGCCTGTATATTTCTCAGAAATTCACTGTTAGTGTTGCATGGGTGAAAGTCAGTTATACAGGTGTGGAATAACATAAGCCTGAGTAAATGTGGACCGAATTTTCATTTGTGGGTGAACTTAACTCACAAGTGATTCCAGTAGAGTTTGATATTAGGATGTTACTAAGCAAACCATGTGATGTGATAATTGTAAAAGGAATAATTATGGGTAAACTGTTTTGGCTTTGAGTTCACTCGCAGCGAGGAAAAACATAGTTTGTGCCGATCACAATGTGCTTTTGTGGTTGCATCGAGCATGAAACCCTTTAAATTCAATTTACAGTTTATGAAATACAGTTTCCAATCTTCACTGTAAAACCTGGGTCCAGAATCAATTCTGTACATTATAGAAACATGCCTATGTTGCCTTAAAGGGATAGTTCACCCCCCCAAAAAAAATCCAAAAAAACCTGCATGAGTTTCTTTCTTCTGTTAAACACAAAATATGATGTTTTAAAGTGCCCCTATTATGGTATGTTTATAGTTTTTCAGGTTTACATGCATCAACGGTCAGAAAACTGTTTTGTTTTCTCATTTGCACGACACCACATTTTTAATGATTCTCAAATGACTCGTCAGAACTAACCCTTTAAAGGTAATCTCAACCCAAAAATGAAGGTCGTGTCATCATTTACTCACCCTCATGACATTCTAATTTAAACGAATGTGACTTGCTTTCTTTTGGGGGAACATATAGAAACACATTTTGAGAAATATCTAATTTATTTGTTTGGAAATACAGTAGATGCTAATGGGCTTCAATGCTGTTTGGTTTCCAATGGTTTTCCAAATATCTTTTGTGTTCGCAAGAAGAAAGTAAGTCATACTGGTCAAGGTAGTCATCTCACTATTTTACAACAGAGCAGTAGTGCTTCACACTCGCTCACAATATGAGTGTGAAGGAGGAGTCCACTCTAGGAGTCTGTGTGTGCTTAAGATCCCCCTCCCCACTCGCTCATTAGGAGGTGAGTGAATCACTGTGGGGGTCTCAGTTTTCAAAGCACTGCTAAAAAAAACAATGAGGAAGGGTGGGGGAGCCAGGAACAGACGTAGAGCGAGCCTCCAAATGTGATTAGGAGCACTGAGTGTTCACTTTAATCCAGTTACATCAGAGGGCCCAGGGGGCTTCTCATCGCCTAATAAATCGACCGCATTGCAACAGACAAGCTTTCCCTGAGGAATGAAAGAAAAGGAGAATGTGAATGAGTGAAAAGTGTGTGCATTGTTGTTTTTATATATGGGTTTGCCGTTTTTGCCTGGTAGATGATAAATCTGGCATTTTATAGACCAACATGGCATCATGACTTTCAAGTCAAGTGGCGTGTTATCTATACGCATTTTCAGCTGTCCACGCCGCTAAAGGGTTAGTTCACCCAAAAATAAAAATAAAGTCATTAATTACTCACCCCCATGCTGTACCAACCCCGTAAGACCTTCATTCATCTTCAGAACACAAATGAAGATATTTTTGATTAAATCTGAGAGGTGGATCACTGCTAAATGCTCCTAAAGGATTGAAACTTGACGGCCCAGAAAGTCATTGAAGAAAATGTTTAAATATTCCAGTGGCTCAAGTTTAAGTTTATCAAGCGACGAGAATACTTTTTGTGCGAAAAATAACGATTTTATTCGACTATTCCTTTTCTTCCTTCTGGGCCTAAACCGAGAGTTCAAGAGATTTCTACGACGCATGCGCGAGAACTGAACTGGTTGAAGAAGATCGAAATTCTCGCGCATCCGTCGTGGAAATCTCTTGAACTCTCGTCTCAGGCTTACAAGGAATAGTCGAATAAAGTCGCTATTTTTGTTTTGTTTTACGCACAAAAAGTATTCTCATCGCTTAATTTTTCAATTAAGAAAGTAGCTTTTCTTTCTTGTTTTTCCCTTAACCGTAACAGTCCAATGTGGGTCTAAATAAGTCTGACTTCTTCCCACTCCGTTTCGTGCAATTGACTGATTTATGTTGTCAAAAATCAAATGCTTCTTATTGCCTTTGTTACATGTCACTATATGGCTCGAAATAAAATGAATTAATTTATTCATCTTGCGCTTGAATGGTTTAAAATCGCTTGAATGTTTAAACTGGTGCCTGGTCTGCACAGATCACATCAACTACGATCCCTACTTGACGTCACGATATTGATGCTAGAACGATATATTGTGCAGCCCTAAGTTGGATCTTAGTTTTATGGAAACTTCAGAAAACTTTTCCAACTCTAAAACGCTTGCATTGAGATTTTGCTTGATGTAAATTGGAGCCGTGAGCCATCTCCATTAAATGTATACTCCACTTTTTTTTCTCGAAATAGGCTCATTTTACAACTCCCCCAGAGTTAAACAGTTGGGTTTTACCATTTTCCAATCCATTCAGACGATTTTCTTATATTTAGAAGAATATCAGTAACCAGACAGTTTCTGGTCTCATTGACTTCCATAGTGGGGAAAAAATATACTACGGAAGTCAAGACCAGACCAGAAGACCAGAAACTCTCTGGTTACTGATATTCTTCTAAATATCAGAAAATCGTCTGAATGGATTTGAAAACGGTAAAACTCAACTGTTTAACTCTGGGGGAGTTGTAAAATTAGCCTATTTCCAAAAAAAGTGGAGTATCCCTTTAACTCCAAGTTGCTTCCAGGGGATTCTCTCTGTAATTATTATATGTCACTTTGGATAAAAGCATCTCATAAATGACTACTGACTTAACTGTGAATCCATTGGTATCTCAGCGTCACGTTTCAAAGCTGTACTGTGCATACAAAGTAGTGGTCATAGTTCTAATCTATTTATCAGTATAGATCTTTAAAGTTCTGTGCCCTTGGGAAAGTCAGGCTTTTCCAGACAAACATATAACGGGTTGCCTGATTACGTCAATGCGATGGGATGTGAGGTGTTTATATTCAGAAGGTGAGCTTCGCCAAAAAGCTTGCCATTCAGAATGCCCACATCCCTTCCATTCTTAAAATATTACTCTTTGGCAAATGTTCAATCTAATTACATTATGTAGAGGAGGAAGCTTCTCGGACAAATGGCCTTTTGCTTCCAAAATTGAATTGCGTCCAAATTCCAAGATGTTGGGAGAGTGAATGAGAGTTCTTAATGGTTTTGTTTTCAGTGTGTTTTTCTGAATGAGTCTGCCTGTAATGTCGTGTAGGTTTGATCGTAAGCAGTCATGACAGACGTGAAGGACAAGTTTCAATTAAGACTGAAGCTAATATGATAGAATCATCAGTATGGTGTAAATATGTTTAGTTCTTCTCTGGGACTCTGTGTACTAGAGGATTATGCTGGACAATCGAATTTTTAATTATGGTTCTGATTCCAATTAATACTTTTCTTAGTACTTTTGTGGATGACCAACCCACAATAATCCTACTACGAAAATAATGTTTTAGTAACAATCAAGGGATTGTTTTAATAATTAAAATACTCAATAGAACAAAATCTATTGTGATCGTCTGTCTTTAGCACATTATGGACAATCAGTACAGATATCTTAGTGTCATGAGTACACACAACACACTTTATTTATTTACTTATTAGAATTTTGATATTTTTCCATCAATCGCTAAGACTGAATCAAAGCTACTTCTTTCAACAAATGTACACTCTAAAAAATGCTGGGTTGTTTTAACCCAATTTTGGGTCAAAAATGGACAAACTCAAACATTGGGTTTAAAAATTAAATTTAAAAATGTAACCCAATTGCTGGGTTTGTCTATATTTGACCCAAAATTGGGTTAAAACAACCCAGCATTTTTTAAAGTGTATTGGACTACAATGGTCATCATGCTCTATTGTATGTTCGTTTCTTTGCGGTTCTGTACATTCTGTAAGAAACTTGAAGTGTTTTGTACATGGCAGCAGAATAATGTAGATCTTGATACAAATGAAAGTAGTTTGGTTGCAGTATTTTTTTTTTTTTAATGGAATTGAGTATGATCTGACAACTCTACCAAGGATGCACTCAAGGATCAGGAGCCAGAAAATGTTGACATAATATAACTTTGTTCTTTACTTGGTTACCAGAAAAGAAACCTGCACCTCAAATATGTGTTTTAAGCCCAATTTTACTAGCAAATTGAGGAGCATTGGCTTTGTAAAACTTGTAGAGACTGTGGACCTTCGTACAGGTGGTAATCGCTGATATAGAGGGAGTGATTTACGTGGGCTTAGAGAGAGCAGAAGGCATTGACCTCCATTAGACCTTAGTGGATACCTCGCAACCCCGTGACCTGCATTTCATCTTGTGAATTGCAATCAATGAATCTCCAACAAAGAGAAATAAATAATTCTGTCACAGTCTGTTATAGTAAATCAATAAATCTCTATACAATTAATTTCTTAAAGGGATACTCCACCTGTTTTCCATATTAAACTATGTTATTCCCTTAACTAAGACGAGTTGATGCATACCTCTCTCGTCAATCGCGAGACACTTTGATAGCACTTAACTAGCCCAGTTCATTCAATAGGTGTCAAGCAGAGAAGCGACCAAACACCTCCATGTTTTCCCTATTTAAATCACGAGTAGTGTAACTCGACCTAGGACGATGACACAAAATAAAACATTGCGCTTTTCTAAGTGTGTAAAATGGATATCTATATTGTATGTACCACAGCAAGTGCTTGGGAGCACTTCGACTCGGCGCAGTAATATCATCACTCGTGAAAAGTATTCCGCCATACAATATAGTTATTGTATCTGTTATACCATATATATACACTACTCGTGTAACTGTATTTAAATAGGGAAAACGTGGAGGTGTTTGGTCGCTCGTTTCTCTGCTTGGCCCATATTGAATGAACTGGGCTAATTAAGTGCTATCAAAGTGTCTAACGCGCGCCAGAGCGAATTGAGTGCACAAACTAAGACGAGAGAGGTATGCATCAACTCGTCTTAGTTAAGGGAATAACATAGTTTAAATGAAAAAAAAAACGGTGGAGTATCCCTTTAATTGTGCCTGTGTGTCAAATCAATACAAGAAACCAAAAGCAGGCACACAAGTGTTAAAGGGATAGTTCACTTTGAAATTAATTTTTGATATGTTTTAGCTTACCTCAAGGGCATCCAAGATGTAGGTGTCTTTGTTTTCACAGTATTTTCAATTTTGACATTTTTCGGTCAAACCGTTGTTGTCTGTCAGTCATATAATGCAGGTTTAGGGGGTCCATGAGAAGTCCAAATTAAACATGATTTAATGACTCGTAAATGTAAGTACACATTGATGACCTAAGACACGAAACGAGCGGTTTGTGTGAGAAAACGAACAGTATTTATATCGTTTTTACCTTGTGCTACCACAGCCGTTGGACATGATTCAGTTGGACATAGGTAAAAACGATATAAATACTGTTTGTTTTCTCACATAAATCGCTCGTGTCTATCATCAATGTGTACTTACATTTACGAGTCATTAAATCATGTTTAATTTTGACTTCTCTGTGCAAGCTCTTTGACGTGGACCCCCTAAACCTGCATTATATGACTGACAGACAACAACGGTTTGACCCAAAAATAAAAATACTGTGGAAACAAAGACACCTACATCTTGGATGCCCTTGAGGTAAGATAAAACATATCAAATATTAATTTCAAAGTGAACTATCCCTTTAAGGTTTTAGTTAACTCAGAAAAGTTCTAAAGTAGTTAAAAAAATATAAAGGTGTTTATGTTTTTTTAATGTATCCGTCTTATTTTCTGTGCAGAACTACAAAGACACCTTACAGACGCAGGTGCTGGAAGCGGCAGCAAACAAGAAGGTGGTATTTGGTGCTGATTTATCAGAAGATAAACTCAAAGACTTTCAAGAAGAGCAGGTGGGGCAGCTTTACGAGCTTATGCTTGAGTCCACAAAACCCAACCGGCAGTTTAATATTCAAGAGGAGGGAACGCCAAAGTAACACCATCTGAAGGGAACAGAAGAGGAAGCCTCCTGACGGTTCATAGTTTGACTTATTATAAAATATTGTTGTACATAGCCAAGTCTGATAAATACATTAAACTGCTACAAAGAGCTACTAATACGTGTCTCATATTTTTAAAAGCAAAACCACATTCTGTGTGATAGATTGTCACTCAATTGGACAGGTAGTGATATTAAAGCATGCACAGCATTTAATGGTCATTTTCAATGATTGACATTAGAGCCAGAGATATATCGGAATATCATATTTTAAAACCCCAAAATATTTGTATCGGTATCGGCCTTCAAAATCCTTTATCGGTCAGGCTCTAATTGACATGATGTGAACGATATCTTGGAGCTAAAAAGAGGGAATGCTGTTGTTTCTGTGAACAGTACATTTGTGTATGTACCGAAAAAAGTTGTTCTGGTAATTTTAAAAAGATAAAAAGTCATTCTCCAGACACTCTTTTCCTTCATTACAGATGAAAAAAGCCCAAATCAATAATGCTTCTCTCGCTCTCTGAATCATTAGATTGTCTGAAAAATAATACCTCATTAGACTTAGACAGTATCTGCGTACACACTTTCACCGTAGAGCTGCACAAAAAGCTTTGGCACTGTCAGCTAGCATCAGCTGATTGGTCGTGAGATATTTTCCCCCATGTTGAACTTTACCAAATACTACTCTAGATTAGAAGACAAGCATCTTTAGTCAAGTAAGAAAACCAATTTACTTGACACTGAACACTGAAATCAATGGTTTGTGAAGAAATCAGTATTCATGTGAGAGCGTAGAGTCTCAATACAAATAATGGCAAGGAATGCTCCAAAGTGTTTTGAATAGAGGCGTTTAAGCGGAGGTAGGTGGTTTGTTTTGTTGCACTTCAGCATGACTCCCTTAACACGCAGATTCATTTCTGAATGCCACTTCAATCACAAAACAAACTGTACTGACACAATACAGCTCCTATAAAGTGTGCACGAGCCATAAACTGATCTCCCACAACAAAAATGTTGCGCCACATAAATCTTTTTTTTTTCTCTTATGTTATTATAGTCATGATCTTTTAAAAGTACTTTTCTTTTTATTCTAATGCGGACTTCAAGTTAGTGTCAGGGTGGAATAAAACATGCAAACTGCAACACACCGCTCCATGAAGACACTAGAGCCTTTGTGCTGTCATGTTAGAAGGGCATGACTCTGGATCAAATGGCTTCTGACAGGAGAGAAATTGAACGCGTATCCTTGGGGATTATGAGAAGACTTGGAAGTAATCTCTATACTTTTCGTCTCAGAACACAGAGAGAAAGTGATAAAATGGCAATGTACACACAGCAACCATTTGCTCGAGCTTCTAAAGTAAAGAAAAGCTGAACAAAAGATGGGAAAGGACAGAAATCAACGGGCAGAGACTTTGCACACACACTGTAAAAAAATTGTTGGTTTAACTTAAAAAATGAATTAACCTGGTTGCCTTAATTTTATGTTCATTAAACTGGAAAAATTGAGTTAATTCAATGAAGAAGATTGATTTAAGCACCAAATACTCAAAATATTATGTTATCTGAACTACATAAATTAAGTTGATTTGACAAAAGAAAAAAATGTTGTGATTACAAATCATGAAACTATTTTTTTTTACAGTGCACACAAAGTGTGTAAGTTGTACATAAATCAAAGTATGTTTTCCAAGAAAATACTATTGCAGTATATCTATACTTCAAATCAATGTTACTTGCCATTTCTCTTTCATCTCTTTCCGAGGAAAATTTGTTTTAAAATAAATACACTGTGAAAAAAATATTGTTGGTTTAACTTTAAAATTTTAAGTTCATTGAAATGGAAAAAATGAGTTAATACAATGAAGGAGATTAATTTAATCACCAGAAACTCAAAATATTATGTTATCTGAACTACATAAATTATCTAAGTTGATTTGACAATAGAAAAAAATGTTGTGATTACAAATCATGAAAATATTTTTTTTTACAACAATTTATTTTCAGTGCAGTGTTTTTACTTGAGGCACATGGCACATATTTTTTGTTTCTAAAGTTAAATATCAGGAAAGATTACCCAAAAGTCCTTGTTTTAGCTTTGAAGACAAGGGTAGTAATTACTTCTTGTGTAACGTATCATCATTGGCTTAAGTGACAAGGAGCCTATTGTGTGCTGAACTATAACGTTTATACAGTGTGTAATTAGCATAAAACCTTGATTGAGGCCAAACCTTACAGGGGGGAATCGTAGACGTTATGGGCATGACTCTCAATGTGGAATATGTGTGAGGTTTAAATGAGTCAACAACTATAAAATGAAGCAGCAGAAAGCCTGGATATACGCAGGGCCAATAGAAAGTTTCCAGGTTATCATCAGGGTGCTGAAATGAAGACATCAGACAGGGTGCCTCAGGCAATTCAATCTCATGTGTTGACACATTGCATTATTCATAACATAAAAACACGGTTTTATTCAAACAAACCCAGCCCATCGCAAACAATTTGGCACAATATATGCAGATGATTTTGTTAATGTAGATTGACACACAGATATAATGGAATGAAATAGATTTTTTTTAAATAAGAGATAAATAACATGAAGTCCCATATGTCTAAATATAAATTATGAAATCTCAAAAGTCAAGTCAAGTCACCTTCATTTAAATAGCGCTTTTGACAATACAGACTGTTTCAAAGAGGCTTTACAGTGATTATATGAAATTAAAGTAACAGAGATTGTTTTGAATAATGTTAGTCCATCTAAAGTTAGTTTTGATTGATTCACTTCCGTTGCAAAGATCATTAGTTGTTAAAGATGCAGTCTGACCAGTTTTTGGTATGCTTCAGGCCCCCGGCTACCAAATTAACATTCAGCAGGTGGATTCTGGAGGCATTTTCCTGGTCCCGAGGGGCGCTGTCTGCCCTCGCCTCTGCCAATAAACGGCATTTTTTTTTATCCTCATGGACACCACAATGATTTCCCTCATGTGTTAATATTTTTCCTTGTTGTAATGTATGATTCCAAAAATAAAAACTGCTCCATCTGTGTTGAGGAGAAAATCAAAGTGAGCGTTGTGCACCTGCTACATTATGGCCAAGCATGCACGCTTAAAATAGCATTATGAATATTAACAATGCGCTATACTGACTTTAGGTTTTTTTAGACTAGTTTAATTGTTTTCTGGAACTACAAAAATAGCACTTACACACCTCCTTTTTGCGCCGACTCGCAAAGGGGGGGGGGGCATAAAACGTTAGACGGACTTAGAAGCATCTGTCTTTTTATTTAATTAATGTCTCCATTACAATGAGTATTTTAAATATTGATAATGCCACATAATTATTATCATGAAAGTAAAGTAAAAAAAAGTGAGTCCTAGATAGACTTTTAAATATATATATATTTATTTATTTTTTAATTGGAATGTGACCTTGACAGCTTTATGAGATTCACCTATTAATTTCATGATAAATAAATACTGTATACCTCACAACATATTGCTTTTTTTTTTTCAACCAAAGTCATTTCAGTAAACTACTTTAAGCGCTTTTGAGACATATCTTGTTTCTGTTGAGAACTTGTGCTTGGCTTGAATCCACTCGTACATTTCCAGTGAACAGGGAGAGATCCGTGACTTTGAAGAGTACATTCAGGAGGTGACTCATCGCCTCATTCAAGGATGACTCTTTAAATCTGAAGAGCTTGTTCTGCAAACCACCTTTTTTCAGAGATTTTTATGCAGCGCTACATTGTTACTGAAAAAATAAACGTTTTGTTTTTTTATTCAAATTATATCTGAAGTATATTTTACAATGTAAATGAAATATTAAAACACAGCGTGGTGTGAAATGCACTTGTGACAACAGTTTTAATTACAGTTTAAAAGGGCACCACTCAGCTGATTTCAAGTGTATGTTGGTAAAGATGAAAATTTAACATTTACTCACTCATACTTATGTCTTATATATGACTTTCCTTCATCATTGGAACACAAGTGGAGTTTGCCAATTTTGCAACACTGTTTCAAAGTAGATCCTACACCAATTTCGAAAAAAAAAGCAAGCTACACATTTAATGAAACATGACATTTTGAAGTGTTCCAGTATTATGTTGTTTAAAATTTGTGATTGCTAGCCCTAGGCTGTCGAACAACCTTCTGGCTATATCTGATCTCTAACTGTTTTTAAATCCTCACTTAAAGTGTAAATTGCAGGTTATTTTTAGGTTATTGCAGGCAAAGTGCTAACTTAACATAAAGATAAGCCCGCCCACAATTTTTTAAAATGTTTTTTAGACCAAAATGCTGCATATGATATGAAAAGTTGGTACGTTTTTAAGTTGGTAAGTTGGTACAACCTCCCTTACACTAGGTTGGGAGTTAAGTCATAAAAGGGACTCCAAGCTTTTACTGTCTATGCCTGGTCTGCTGCAAGCCTAGTTAAAGTCCCTGCAAAGGGAATTCTACAAAAAAACTCTGAACACATTATAAATGATACAAATGTATTGCAAAAACATGTTACAAATACTGTGAACTGTGAACTGAAATGCAGAGTTAGACCGTTAAACAGTTTGCTAAACCATTGCTATTTTACGGATTTTTTGGGCGGGGCTAAAACAGGGCTCGATGACGTACTGGAGCCCCTGAGCTCCTAGACACGCCCCTACTTGATGACGCACTGAGGCTGTGTTTACACGGAAACGATTCAGAAGAGAAACCGCAAAAGTGGCGTTGTGTTATCACTTTTTATTCTGCATTTAGAAGAGCGTTTTGGGTGGGAAATCCGCGTGCATATGGAGACGTAAAAGTGTGTGAAATACAAAATGCACTCCAGGCGGCTAGGTGGCAATGTGGAGCACTGCCACACAACAACACCAAGTCCGTGCGCCTGCGTACAACCTTCACTGTCAAGCAGACTTTTGCGTTTTTACCCTCAAAGGGATACTCCACTTTTTTTTGGAAATAGGCTTATTTTTCAACTCCCCCAGAGTTAAACAGTTGAGTTTTTACCGTTTTCGAAACCATTCAGCCGTTTTTCTGATATTTAGAGGAATATCAGTAAACAGACAGTTTCTGGTCTCATTGACTTCCATAGTATATTTTTTTTCCTACTTTGG